GGTCTGGAGCATTGTTTGCTCACTAATGCGCCGGGAATCACTACAGCTTGCTAATCTGGCCAGAGAAGTAGCTCGACTAAAAGGGCAGTTGAGTTTCCTGTGAAATTCTGAGCGTGCAAGGCGCGGTCAGGTTAGGCAGGAAGGAAGTGCTGCACCCGTCATGTCGCAGTCTATGATGGGTGTGGTCGCTGGCACAGCCAATAGTCTTTTTCTATTTGCAGCTGGCCTGTGCTTTTGCAGCTGGAATAGTAATAGGTTGTTGTGTGTCCTTAGGATCCCTTTGCTTGGGGATCTGGGTCGGACACATTCTCTAGAGCATACATATGTGGCCGTGACTCACCAGCCATATTTGGCAGTCACACGTAATGGCCATTCGACACATGTCCAGAGCTGAGCAGCCACTGAAGGATGGTGGATTGCCTCATTGTTTCCCTGGCCATTCTCCTACAACTATCGCCCAGGCAGCATGTTAGGCACCTGCAAATATCGGTACCGGTACATGGCACAACCCTTAAAGGGTTGGGGTATGCACAGCAGAAGGAGACATGCGCAAGCTGCAATCCAGGGATGGTAAATCACACACAGGGATAATGTTCCCTTCACAGGGATGCTGAGCTTGCTTCCCGAAGGAAATCCACTCGCCCGACCCTCAGGTCCCACCCCCAACGCGCGAGTTGGCCTGTTCGGTACACCGTTCACAAGGCCAAAGATTTTTATAGACCGGGGGCGGCTACACTGCACACCCCCGCCTTATTTGTACACCTCAGTACAAATGGACATACGACACAAAGCAAAAGTTCCACTCTAAGGGTCCCATCAATTCAAAAGGACCATCTCCCCCAAAAATTCCGACCAGTCCCTATGGGTAGATCCTCGGGTTCTGCCATTCATTGTCCCCTTAGCGCACCCTCCGCCCTATTCAAAAGGTCCCGCAGGGCTTTGTCCATCCCGCTGATCTCTACAATATCCTAACGAATCCCTTCATATCAAAAATTATAAAAAATTGACGTCCGCCAAAAGGGCAACCTCTGCAGCACGGCCCAGGATGTCTTGTCATCGTATTCAGATGCACAATCCAGTTGTCCAGCCCCTGCTCCAACTATCACATCACCTGCATCCCCCGGCATGCGCTCGCTCTGCCCTCACCGAATTCACCCATGCTTCTCCGCGGAGTGAGGGAGCTCCTGTTCGACATCCGGCTTGGCCTTGTACCCTTGAATCCATCCTTGCACCTCGACCTTCACCACGTCAAATTTCCACCGCACTTGCATGACCTATGCCCTTGCATTCCAACCTTCAATGGTTTTTTGTAGAGCGGGCGAAACCAAATTGCGTTTGGGCAGTCCTAGAGGTAGCTTGGTCAGAATTCGTTGCTCCTCCATCAACGCACTCAATGGCGTGTCCCTCAGATATGTTTCATCCAGACTCTGCATATTGAGGTGCTTGTCAAAGAAATCCCCCATAATCCGCCATTGCTCCACCTGAATTTCGTCCTCCATGATCTCCAGCACACGCCACACCACCAGTTTGTTGTCCATGCGATGTACCTCCGACACTTCCACATCCCTTCGGGAGGCATCCCATGCAGGCTTCAACCCAGAATAACACATGATTTCAAATTGCATGAGCACCTCCGACCTCACCATGACCGACAGCGCCCCCATATCCAGCGAAGCCTGGAAGGCTACTCCCGCCTGCTTCACCACATCAAAGATATAGCAGTCATCGCTTAGGGAGGCCTCCCACACCTCCATGAGTGCCTATAGATCGTTGGTGCACTTCCAGACCCGGTCCACCATCACCTCCATCCGGTCGTTGGTCCAGGACGCCCGGACCCCCAGCGCAGCAAGGCGGGCAGCCTGGAATTGCTCCAGCTGCTCACAGAATTCCTTGACCTCATTCAGGCCCGGGAGGGCCTGCGCATTGCGCCACTCCAGGATCTAGTCCAGGCTAGCTAGAGCGCCCTCACCAGTCAGAAAGCAAACCATCTTCGGTGGTGGTTCAGTGTTTGGAGGGCTCTCACGCACGCCACAGGCTCAGTTGCTCTCATATGGGACCTGCATGTCCGCCCCTCACTTACGGTTGTGCATGTCTCATAGGTCAAATCAGTCAGTTTTCACCCAATCGGACCGCCATGTTCCCTACGGCCCCCAAATTGCAAGTGAAATATCTTCAAAAATTGTTCATTTCTTTTCCAAATCTCTAACCAAAATACCAATCGATTGGGTAAGTAGTTTCCTATCCACTGATACCCTATACACCCCTTAATGACCACTCTACACCTACAATGACCACCCAGTAAGCTTACTCCAAGTCACGCCATCATCCGTGTCCCCCACGGTTGGCCTAACATTCAGGCTGGTTTGACAGCGCCCTATACTGCCAGCGATATCCCCGATATGTCAACACCCCCCGTCCGCACCCGCATCCCCTCTAAGTCATCCACCCGAGCCAACATCCAAGCTCCGTGCCCGACACTCCCCGTCGTACCCGCGACCCCGCCCAGGGTTCCGGGCCGGCGCGTTTCTCTACCCAGGACTCTGCCGCAAACCATCGCCGGTCAGATAGGCAGTCAGTCCCTGCTCCGTAAACCCACCGGCTCAGATTGCCCGAGTCGGCCTTGCGTGCTGTGCGCGAGCGTCCAGGCCATCGAGACCCTCCGGTGCGGGTCCTGGCCATCCGGAGTGGGGCAAAAGCACGCAGCCCCTTCCGAATGGAAACCACGCGTGCAGAATGAAAGGCCAAGGGAGGCGGTTCGATTGCCCCGGAGCGAAAGAACCAGACCTGCACGGACTTGCTCCGCCATCGTGCGGCTGGGCTCACCCCTCGCCGGCCCATTGTCAGGAACAGAGCCGCCCGAGATGGCAATGGGCATTGCTCCGGTTTCACACCGGAGGGCCCCTCCTTCCTGGCCCCTGAGTTGAACGCAACAGTCGCTGGACGGAGGACATGCCCCGCGCTGTGTCACGGAGACCAGCGCTCCCGGAGGTGGCGCGGAGGCCTCGGGGGCTGTGGTGGCTTCGCATGTGCTTTAGTGTCTGGGATGCTTAGCTGTGCGGGGTTACGTGAGAGCGCCCCGGATGTTGTCGTCTTTTCTGGGCCTCGATGCCGTACTTGGTAGCCCGATACTGTCCGCTAACCCCCTTGCCCATACGGTTCCTTCTCAGGTCCCCCCTTCCACTGGCCAAGGCTCCCCCGTACTGGAGTCCCTTGCCAGGGAATTCTGGGCCTCACGGGGCACCAGCTTGGCGCAACGGAGGGTTGCATTATTAAGCAATAATGCTCTCATTATTGGTGACCCGTACACACCAGAAACCGTAAAGGCACAGCGACCATCTGATGTTTTCTTAATATGTCATTTACATCATATTAACAGTTCTCCCTTGCGCTTTTTATACAATGTGTGTATGTTCTTTTCTTCGCTCCCTTCTCTCCTCTTTTCATCTCCACCCTGACTGTTGTTTGACAGTGGCCCAGTCAGCTCCCCTATGTTGGTCATGAGCCCGTCTTTGATGTACCGGTGCTCATGACTAACAGCAGTTTTAGCACTTGGTGTTCATCTCCACAAAATGCAATAAAGTTTCTTATGCCCACCGTTCCCAAACCAATGCTAATGTTGCCATTGGGGACTAAACGAGGGTCTGGCGCTGCCATAGCTACACCATAGACCCAACCATAGATACAACTAGTAGGCACGCTCGGCTTCCTGTTCCACACCAAGTCTCCAAAAGCGTACTGTTTCCTGCTACTCGATGCATGTGGAAGCCAACCAGGGTACCTTGTAATTGTGCACCACTTTCCATGTCAAGATACGACCAAGTTCTATGGCTACAACTGCACCTGTAGACAGTGTCCAACATGCGCGCATGCACCCCAGCATGTTGGCAACCTATCGTTGGAAACGAGAATGGGCCGTGGTGCCGAGAGCAGGCGGGCCCCCAGGTCCGCGTCAACGTAGGGTGGGGCTGGGGGCAGGGTGCAATTGTTTCATTCATTCCCAGCCAGAAATTTAAAACTGAGCTAGAATACAAATGAAATGACCCTCATGAAATCGTTCCATCGCCAGTCACGCCGCCACCAAGCATCCAAGCCCGCCGACTGATGACAACCAAAAACATGAATGCAGTGGTCAACAATAAACAATCTAGAATAACAAATCGAGTGGTAGAAATCAATCGAAAATTTTCAGTGGCAAGAGCCGCCACGGTCGCGTCCCTCTCGCACCACCGCACTCGAGGCCCACGAGGCATTCTCCATTGCATCACCAACAGCGGAAGAAGAGGGAGGTGCCACACCGCCGGCACGCATCCACCTACGCCTCTCGGCTTCGCAAGCAGATTAAGTCGTGCTATCTTCGGTAGTCCTCGTCTCAGTCTGTTGTACGCCAGTCTGTGGACTGAAGCACACGAGTTGGCCCTCAAACCCTTGTCCTGAGCTGCCTGCCAGGCCTTCCCCGTGGTGTCCCCAGCGACGGCCGGCCTCACGGCGCAAGCGTCCATAGACTCCTGCTGCCCGGGGCCAGGCCATCCGTTGTGCCCATGCCAGGGGGCCCTGTCACCAGCCACGGCATCCCATTGTGTGCACTACGAGCATCGTCTGCAAACGGCCAATCGTGACAAGGCCAGAACACTGAGCGCCGCCATCAGGCCCAAGCAAACAATCTTTTGAATCACTGCACTCCTCGCTTCCTGACCCTGGAAATTTGGCTGCCATGCCATATCCATGGCTCCATAGAGCTCGTAGGAACTCACCAAGGAACATATTGCCAGTTGGATTCTAACCCCTACACGAGTGGTATCCTTGTCAATTGTCCACTATTCCTGTCGCTCCTTATCCATGTCTGCTCCCAGCCCAAAGAAATTCGCCTGCTGGACCTGATGCGGGTAGGACAATAGGGTCGAATCATGTAGCAATCCATCCAGCATTTCTTGTGCTCGATCTCCGCCATTCGCATATACGTTCCCACGTAGTTCTATTGCCGTCACTTCATTTTCAAAACACTATCTCCTCCGGAGTTCACCCGACTTCCGTCTCATTCCTTCTGCCGATCCCTGGCCCTCGCCAGAGTTCCCCTTTCCCAACAAACTGCTGAGCATATCAGTTGCATCCACGTCCACTCCGCCCCACCCTGTTCTCAAACTGGGGCCCCCTTGGTGGTCAGTCAAGGCCCAAGGGGGCGTGTGTGGCCACTGACCCTGCCCCGCTCCCCATACATGACTTCCCTCACTGATATCCAGCACAGGCGCCCCATCTCGGGTTCGCAACCCTTGATAGCCCTGTGACCTCCCATAGTGGTGCAAGGGCATCTGTCCAGGGTGTATTGGTGTGCGCCACTGGGAGGAGTTTGAGTGGTGCGGCACATGCTGTGCAGACGCTCCAAAGGGAGGCAGACCGGATGTGTGACACTCCAGCGGGTGTGCGACAGTGGGGCCCCAGGGGCCGTGTAACCATCGCCACTGGTTCTCAGGCTGCGGATGAGCATTTGGGAGGACCATGGTGTGGGGCGCACCTGGGACGCAAGGGAGCCCCATCTGGCTTGGGTAGCCACTGTGTAGGGTGCTGGGACTCATGCCATGATGGGCGGGGATCAAAGAAGGAAAACCCATGCAAGGCAAGGGCCCCATGTTTGCAGCACTTCTCCAGTTTGCCGCCTTCCCGTGCGTGCCAAAGGCTTCGTCGTGGGACAGCAGTGACTCTGGCTTGTCCAGAGGAGAGGAGCCAGCAAAGCTGACAGCGCCCACATCTGAGAGGTCCTTCCCACCCCACCCGCGAGCTGACTCCGACATGCGGGGCCGCCACTGCGTGTGCACTGGCAGTGAATCTCGATGCCTTGCATCTTCCACACACACGCTGCCTGTGGATGACCCCGGGCCTGTGCTCCTGCCACATTCAGAAATAGGTCGTGGAGGTTCTCTCTTTGCGCTTGCCTTGGTGTCGGGCAGTCCAGAGGATGGTTCTGCCACTGGTGCTGTTGGCTGAGCCTGTGTTGAGTCCACTACAGAAGTGCTCTGCTTGGCAGGATCTGACTCGGTCAGGGCTTTGGAAAGCGCTGTCCATTTGGCAGCCCTTTCCGCAGCCAACTCTTCAAGGCGCTGACGCCCAAGCCGTTCAGCTTCCACACGGGCTCCCTGCTCAGCCTGTGCAGCAAGAGAAGCAGATCATGCCTTGGCAATGTGTGTCCTCTCATCCACCTGAGTTTCTGCCCTCTTTCTCAGCTATCTGACAAGTGACGTATGGTCAACAGAAAGCCCTGGAAGGTAAGATGCATCTGTAGAAGAATTGTCCACACACAAAAGAAGCACACTGGATGGAACTTGTTGTTCCTATATGCTCAAGACAATGCAGTTCGCCAGCACCCAAGTTGGGACAGGACACAGGACAAAGATGTCACCGTGCCTCAGTATTCCATTGAAAAGGCCAATCAGAACTGATTCTGCTCGAAGAGGGTAATAGGAAGTGCCCAAGCAAGCGCATTGGCTTGGTTCCAAGAGGGGCACTGATGCTCACAAGCTGACCAAGCCTTAGTCTGGTTCATGTTGATTGAAAGCATATGCCAGAAACACCCAGCAGTGCATAACATACAGTGGAGAATGGCAACAATAAACACTGTAGGAGCATACAATTGCAGAAGCGACCTGCAGACAACCTGAGCAGGGAAAGAGCAGTGACTAGTCATATTATGACAAATGCAGTTTCTGCACAATTTAACAAGCGGCAGCAGTTGTGGAAGCAGCATTTGTTGCAGCGGAAGAAGCAATTTGTAGCAGCAAACAGTTTGCAGTAATCAACTCACCCTCTTCTTTGCCAGTTGGTGGGCTGAATCGCTTGCAACCTTGTGTGCCTCTTCGATGCTTAAAATCTCTGTGGTACCCTCAACCCCAACTGCTACAGTCACAGACGCAGTAGACAGGAGGGTCATTCCCAACTGCTTGTCTGACACAATGAAATTTGCCGTCGCTGAGGATGCACATGACTCACTCACGTGCCTGGATCCCTGCTCTCTCTCCCCCTCATCACCCCTGCTGGCTTCACCAGGCAAACCAGGACTCTCGTGGAACAGAGCATCCATGAAGTATGTGGGGTTCAGAGTTGACATCAAGTGGGAAGGCAGTGGGAGATATGCCTGGGGTGGGTTGGTCTGGGCTGTCTGTTCAAGGGCCTGGGAAGAGGCGCCATCGGCTGTGCGATCACTGTCTGGGATGCACTGTGAGGCTTCAGCAGCCTCTCTGAACCACTGGCATACTTCCTGTAGCTTCCATTGAGGCACACCAGATTTCTCAGACAGCGTCGGCAGTGTCTTGAGCTGCTCAGACATGCTCTTGAGAACCTGGGCATCAGCTCAACAGCACACAAAAGTCGATGCCCATATCACCGCCAACTGTAGCAATTCTGCCTGTGTACTATGACCGCTATGTGTTTACAAGCTTGAGACAGAATGCACGCAGCTGGGTTGAGGTATCTCTGGGCGATGGATGCGACAGCCACCTCAGCAGACAGTCATGTGGACAGCAACTTGTGACTCGAACTTGCTGCACCCTCCCTTGGTGAACAGCCCATCCATATCCACGATCTCATTTTGGAAAAATGACAAGACCAAACTAACATGATATGCCACTGTTACATCCCCATATTCATCAGTTTTTGCGAGCAAGCCAATGGCAGGGAAGCTCTATGCTATAAGTAGCATCAACAACACCAACGTTGGCCCCTTGGTGCGCACCGATGCATTCAGACAGTATGCATGGGTCACTGGCATCGGTAATTGAATGCATCCACACACATTTGATGAACGACCGCACACCAACACGCCAAAGTATATCACAAAAGCACCCCTCATTACCTCAAGGCCCTTGGGCAGTGACTTCTCTGCGATCCAGAAGTGGAAGTTGTCCTCCGTATCAGGCTCACTGTTACATGCATTCAGCAGCTCATACAGCTTTGCCATCTCCGTGGACATGCGACCACCTGCTTTTGCCTTCTCTGCATCCAGCCTCGTGGCAAGTTCCTGTTTCTGCCGTACGTGGTTTGAGCGCCGGACCAGCCGGAACGTTCGACCGCTGGGGTCCTGTATTATGCAGCAAGATAAAGCACCGTCAAGAAAGAAACAAGCATGCAATGTCACCTTGATGGCAGCCTCATCGACTGTTTTATGCTGGAACTGAAGTGTGAGTGGCCAATACCACACTTGTATTATTCAAGGGACATACTTTTCCATGAAATAAGCAGCTAGCCAGAGATACACGTTGCAAGCAGCAAACCCATCAGAAAACAATCACCGCTGGATGGTGTGATATGCAGAGAATGTGCAGCATAGGAGTACAAGCACAGTGATTCACTCAGGACACCAGTATTACCCAGGAAATGTCATAGAATCAAGAGCAAAGATTGCAGATCTTCCAACACACTGCAAACGTGCATCCACAGGGCGCTCAATTGAGACCAGGAGAAAGAGGCCCTAGCAAGCACAATGTGCCCCTAATGGTAATTGTACAAACAATAAACAAAACAACAAAAGCACCCTCGCACCTGCTCTACCATCTCAAGTTTGATTCCAGAGCCCTCACTAATGCAGGTTGAGTCTGCTGCCACCCAAGCCAACTCCTCAGACACTTCTGCTAGTGAGAAGTCTTCATGAAAACCCTCTGCAAAGTCTGTCACTACCTCCTCACCGCTGTTCCCTCCATCACTGTCCTCGGCAATCGCAGCATTGTCCCAATCCTCATCCTCTGGGTTCTTGATCGCATGCCAGATCACACTGATATCCGATGATGGGGACAGCCATAGGGTCAACATTCCCACATCATCTGTGGCCCTCAGGAACCCAGGATTGGGCCCAAGCTTCCTGGTGAGTCGACCTACCTTAAGGCAGGCAAGCGGTTCACTGATGGCACGGAGCATGCTACCTGCTTGCTGCAGGGTGAGCATTGGTGCCTTGCCAATCGCCAGTCCGGGGATCGCCAGCATCAGGCTCATCTCCTGATGGGAATCTGCATGCTCGCTCACCATCTGGTTCTCTTGCCTGCAGGTCTGCAACACTGCCATCGTTGGGATGCTCTTTGAGCCTGCAGATCGAAGGGAGGACATCCACTGGGGCGGGTCCAAGAACATGGGCGGTAGTGGGTGGAAGGTCGGGGCTGGCTCCTGGCCCAACGCCATGCCCTGGATGGATCTCTGCAGTACCTCTGTAGACCTGGCATGGCTGCCACTGCTGTGATCGACAGGCTTGCGACTGGACTGTGAAGCTGGCTGCTTGTGCCCTGACCCAGAAGCTGAAACCGTACCCTGGCCTTGCTCCTCCTCATCCGCCTCTGACTGTGTGGCCTTGGGTTCGCTCGCTGTGGATGGCTCTTGGCTAACAGGCACAGGGGAAGGTGCGCTTGCAGTGACTTTCTCCCCAGTATTCGAGCATTGGTCCCTCCCCTCGTCCTTCGATGCCTTCCCGTTCACACCGCTGGCCTTGCAGTTCGAGCCAGCAGCCCCCTGCTCCACGCCATCTGCCTTGACCCTCCAATCCGAATCCCAGTGCCCGCTTGCTGCAGGCTGACCCTCCCACAGCCCATCACCGACGCGGTCAGGCGCCGAGTTCGCCCGGTGGGCCAGCTGCTGGGGCGCGAAACACGGCAGCGATGGGAAGCTGGGATCCACCAGCGCGGCACCAGCCTGCGATGAGCCCGCCGCGATCGGCAGCCCCACACTTGCCTGCTGAGGAACATAGACCTGGCCCCGCACCCCGTGCTCGGGCACCGCGGGGCCAAAGGCATCCGGGGGGATCGCGGCCCCTGGAGGCACATACGGCTGCACATACCGCCGCATCTGTGGCAGTCCGAATTCCATGGCGGGCACGGAGAACTGCATGGGGGGCACGGAGTAGCCGCCCCCGGCCCGGAGGTGGCCGAACTGCCCCACTCCCCATGCCGCTGTGCCGGGCATGGTCATTTCGGGCACGTATGCCGAGGGCAGCAGCCTAGGAGCCAGCAGCCCGGGCAGCCAACCCTGGCGATCCATAGCCCCCTGCCCCACCGTCGTACCCGCAAGCCCGTCACCCCCGACCAACGCCGGCATGCCGCACATCGCCGGGTCGGGTACCGCCCACGCCGGGGCCATTGCAGCTCCCGGCATGCAGTACTGGTTCACTCCCGCAGCGGGCTGGTAGTAGATGGCGTGCGCAGGGAGGGGGCAGGGCAAGGGACCCGGAAAGCCGATCGACGGCACGGCCACCCCCCCCAGGTAGCCCCCGGGGTGTGTGTTCGACGGGCCGGCCATCGCGGGCCCCTCTTGCCATGCCTTCAGGGCCTCCTTTTGGGATCCGGGGCCAGCGGTTGGATCAAAATTCATCTGCTGATGCGCCGCTGTGTTGGATCGCGGTGGGGCCTGGCGCCCTTGCGTGCCGCCCACGTCGCCAGCATTTGTGTTCGCGCCTTGTGCCTTCGTGTCTGGGGGGGCAGCCACAGCAGTGCGTCAGGCGAGGTATCGCGCCGCGACTCGCCACTCCAGAGGACGAAGTTGCGAGGGCGCGAGCACGGGCCGGGCAGCGCCACCACCGGTAGCCAGGGTGGGTGCAGTGGCACGGCAGAAGTGCCCATAGGCCATCAGGCCACCCTGAAATCTTAGCAGCGTCGCGCGAGGAACCCAAACCGAGGCGCCTCTCGAGCGATGCGGCGCCTCCAAGCCCGCCGGTGCCCGAGCGATCCCCACGCCCCGGGCAGCCTCGTCGGGCCACCCTAAGCGGCCGCCCCTGCCCCCGCAGGGCCGCCGACAGGTCTCCGATACCGCGCCAGAGCGACAACAACCTCCAGCCCGCCGCCATTCCCCACCGGCGTCGATCAGCCACCCGCAGCCCCGGCCCCGTCTGAGGTTCCAAAGCGCCCGCCTCGGAACAACGCTGGAACTCGGCACCCCCTTCCGTCCTTCCCATCTCACAGCAGCCGCCCCCTCCCCCTCTCTTCCGCGAGACGATGAACATCCGCCCGGCAACCCGGCACCACTCTGTGGTGCCACCCGGACCCTGACGCGCCCCCGCAGCTGACGGCCCCCCCCTCCCCCCCACCCCCACCCCCCCATTCCCCATCCCCACCCCCATCCCCGGACAGCCGCCCACCGATTGTGCAAGCCCCGCGCCGCGCCGGTTCGCCACCCACCTGCGGGTCCGCGCCCGTCGGCCGCGCTCAATGGTCAATGTCCGTCGACGCTTTCCACGCGCTGGGAGATATTCCGGCGGTGGTGGCTGGGTGACATGAATGAGCGGCGTGGCGCTGCGCCGCCCGCCGCATGGAAAGGGCGCACCCGGGCGCCACGGTGGCGTTCCAGGATCGGCCCTTTGCGGTCCGAGAGCCCGAATCTTCTGTGGGCAGTGTCCGAGTGGCGGACACGTCAGGGCGACAGTCAACGCCCCCCGCCGAATCATCCGAGGCGCAAATATGCCGCGCCTGGGTCCAGCACGTGTGGCCAGGATTGCGCGGCGGGCGCTCAGTGGGAGGTGGGGGCCAGATCTGGGGACGGGCGGATTCGACGGCGAGGGCGGTTGGATATCAAAAGCGGACCAGATTTTGTTTTGTTCGCGTTCTTGGCAGTGTTGGGCCACCACGTAAGGCGTCCAGTGCGTGTTTTGGCGCCCCTGGCTGTTTCTCGCTGGCCCCCAAAGTTGCTGGAGCGGCCTGTTTAGGGATGCCGCTCCCGGGAGCTTGCGGGGAGCGCAAATTCCTCATCACGTCGTTGGGCTGTAGGGCACTAAACAGCGGCCTCCCACAGACGGAGCAGAGGGTTTTACACATGTGGTCGTCAGAGACGAGTTTCGAGCACAAAGTTCCTTGCCAAAGGCATCACCAAACACGATCAGTTTCTTCTCAAACACACCTCTATCCCCTCATAGCCCCAGAAACTTCACAGATCATACAGATCACAAACACCTCTTTCAACGATGTAGTCAAATGCCACCCCACAAATCATGTATAGCCAACATGGAAAACACGCCACAAACACCCTTTCACCAAGTAACCAGGATGGGTATGGGTTGCCAGAACACATAATCTCCCTGCCAATACCATGGCTAGAGTAGTGAGGCAAAGAGAAAGGGTAGACCGTCCCTTGAACCCCAATAAACCACTCAAACAATGCATTCACACTCCTCAAAGCGTGGATCAACAAATTTGCAAGACCCAGGTACCCTTGGGAACCGTAGTGCACATAAAAGGATTAAACATGGGCCTAGAAAACCTTAGACAGAGCCCACAACTTCCAACAAGGAATCGTGCTGGCACGACAATCTGAACACAACGTTTCTCGATTTGTTTCCCTCCAAACCACAACTTCCCCTTCTAGGTTGTCCCTTTCCCTCTCCCATGGTCCAACACATGTACCACAACCCCAGTGGTGAATGGAGCTTTCATTCAATCCCAGTTGTGTGGTAAAGTAGGGGTCCCTATATAGCCAATAGTGCCCTTTTTGTGGTTGGTCACTATTTTTGTAGTACTTTATGCACCTTTGTTGCGCAGTGGGACCTCAAACTATTAAAGGGGGGGCCGGTTTAGCGGCCCCTAAATGGCTTGTCACATATCCCGCAGTACTTTATTTCACTGCGACAAGCCCCAACACCCGCGACTTCGGCGCTGCGGCAAAGTCGCTGGCACCAAAAGCTAGTATGGGTAGGCTAAGAGTAGCGTACACCCTACACTGGCTGCCAAGGTACACCCTATATGGGCAGCCAGGGTACCCCCCATATTGGCAGCCAGGATACCCCCTATACTGGCAGCCAGGGCACCCCCTACCCTAGCAACTTAGGGTACTCCCTACCGCGGCAGCTTAGGGTGCCCTTCACACCGGTTGCCTAAGGGAGCCTATTCAAATTCCCACAAAATGACCAACATTTGTTGGCCACTTTTGTGTTTTGGTCACCGAATGAGGGTATTGGCCCTTTGCCCTAATGTGGCATGGGATAGGTATTATGATGGCATTGGTTTCTGGTGCATTATTGAAGATGGCGCCTAGGGCCATCGCAGCCATTGCCAGCGCCCGGAGGTGGTGGCACGGCACGCTTTCGAGCCTCAAGTTGAGCTGGCCTTTTGATAGCCATTTAATGGGCTGGCAACATGGAGCTGCGGGGGCGAACCACGGGGGCAAGCCATGGGGGCGAGCTACACGGGCGAGCTGTAGGGTGCAGTGTGATGAAGTGTGATAGGTGCGGGGGTGCCCATGTTCGCGCAGCTGTATAATGACCACCGTTTCACTTATGAGTCACTTATGATTCAGTTGGTGAGGGACTTACATCTCTGACACGCATGCTGACTGTGTGGGATGGCCCGAGTATGCTACCACTAGCTAGAAAAGGAAAAAATCAAAAACAAGAAACAAAACTAGTTAAGTGCTTGCATTTTTAGTAATATATCAAGTTGGTCGTGAAAATTGAAAGGAGTCTTTGCCTCGAGGGGAGCTTGGTGATGACTGAGTGACACCCTATGCAGCAAGAGTGTTTCAATGAATGTTGCCTCACCAGTACTGATTGCGGCTCTCAATTTCTGGTGGGGCTATGTGTCTTGAATAAGGATACTACCCAGTTTGGGCTAGAGGTGGCCACTCAAAGATGCCATCCGGTCCGTTAAATTTTATTCGTTAATTTTTATCAGCTGTCCGTTGAATTCCGTTAAAGAAAAAGGGAGAAAAATTCAGAAAAAACGAAAAAAATCCAAAAAAATCAAAAAAAAACCCCAAAAATCACAACAACTGCGGCTAGTTGAAAATCTAATATGCATAGGTTGAAACAAAATACAAACATACTCTCTAATAGCGAATTCCATAAACTATAAGTATGACTAAAACCCAAAAATCCCCAAAAAATCCAAAAATCCGTTAATTTTTGGTTAATTTTTTTTTGTCTTTTTTCGTTATTTTCCGTTAATTAACGGAAAATTAACGGAAATTAACCTCTGTCCGCTATTAACGGATCCGGGTGGCCACCTCTAGTTTGGGCGTGTGTCCAACCTCAAAGCCAAACGCCCTAGGCTAAGAGGTTGTTGGCCTGAAAAAGGCTAAAAAGAACCATGCGTAGCCAAAAGCTTGGGCCCACACCTAATGGCTCTTTCCAGAGTGGACTGCCCCATGCCAAGGTTGCATGTGTTTGGTCTATTCATCAGTCACTATAGCTGAAATAATGTTGTGGAGAAAACATACGTGCAGGCTGTGGTGCTAGCCGTTTTATCACGTCATTCTTAGTCCAGGTCCTATATGTTGATGTCTCTTTCAAGCTATAGGTAGAGTCTGATTTAGCTATCACAGAGCTGTGTTTTGGGTCATATTGTTTAGTCGTTTAGGCCCAAGAAACACGTTGGGATGTATCTTGCTTTGGCATGGGGTTGTGTTGGTGTGTTGCCTAGCCAACCCACTCTTTGATGGTCCCAGACGCTGCGTTTATTCTGGTGCTCTGAATCGCTGAAAAAGTGACAAAAGTAGAAAAGTGTGGGAATGTCACTAAACAAGTGACAAAGGAAAGAAAAAACTCTTGAACAAGGAGTTTTGGACTAGTTGGATCATTGCTAACTGGTATGTGCATGCTTGACATAATGTCACACAATGATTGTGTCCCATTGGTTGATGTCTCTTTTTAGCCATGGGGTTACACAATTGTGCATGTATGGGGTTGAGCCCATGGTTGTCCATTTTTTAGGTATGCGCCTTAAAGAATATGCTGGAATGTCTCTTGCCCCAGCATGGCACTGAGTTGATGTGTCTTTCTAGCTTATGCATCTTTTCGGTGTCTATGACCTGATGCAAGTTGTATTTTGCCACTAAAAAGGTGGCTGGAATCTACATGCCACTGTGAAAGTGGTGCTGCCATTGGTGCAAGTGGTGCAGCATTGGTTGGTGTATACCACTGAAAAGGTGGTTGTATGTGGCTGCCACTGAAAAAGCGGTGCAGCCCCTGAAATTGGACGGGACTGGTTTATGTTTACCACTGGAAAAGTGGTTGTATAAGGCTGCCACTGGAAAAGTGGTGCTGCCTTTACCATTAAGCAGTACAAGTTTGTGTTTACCACTGGAAAAATGGCGCTGCTTCTGAAAAAGGAGTTGTGGGATTATGCGGGACTGCAGGATCGTTTTCTGAATAAGAAACTGAAGTCCATGATCTGTTTGAGGGAGAACATGCTGAAAAAGCATGTTTGGTATTTGATTACAATGGGTGCATAACTGAATCCCTGGAAAAGGGATGTGTACAATCATCCAACAACTCCTGAAAAAAGAGTTGTGAGATTGCAAGAAGTTGTAGGGACAGTTTCTGGAGAAGAAATTGTACTCCCTAAAATGATTTTCAGGCTGGTTTTGAGGCAACCATGCTAAAAAGCATG